AATAATAGTAGCAATATGCATTGTCTCCTTAATCCCGACACACGATAACCTATCAGACAGATGGTATTATTAGCCCCATTTACAGAAAAGGGTATTAACCCAGACAGTGACTCCAAAGCTCCAAGATGTAACTGATGGGCTGAACTCCTTCATCACCGTCTTGGGGAGAGCTGGAAGATCACAGTTCTGACACTAGTTCTACCAATAAATCAGCTACATGTCCCTGGACTAGTAACTTTACCTTTCTAGGCTCCATTTCCTTCTCTGTAAAGTGAGGGGATTGGTCTAGAAAATCTCCAGCTCTTATGTAATCTGAGTCTTTGATTAAGGCAGAATAGAAAAGTTACATACACAAGAGAGGCAATGAATTAAAAATTTAGCCATAAGTGAACAGGGAGATCTAGCCAAGAAAATCAGAATATTGAATGTTTTATGTAGTGAATTTTCAAGCAATAAACCCACACTCTGATAAATAAAATCTGTAATTGCAAAACTCTACTTTTTATTTATATATTTAAGTTAGGTGTAGTATCAAAAAGTAAAATTTTTCATACCTGGAAATTTACAAATGCTGCTCTTGAAACCCTACTAAGTTGATTGAATGGAATAAAAAAGTGAAGATTCCAACTCAAACACAGTCTATGTACGAAGGATTGTCCTGTAGAGAGAGAAAGTAGCTATTTATAATGAACTTTTGTTATAAGAGACAGACACATCTGCTAAGGTACATAATAAATATTTAAATAAATTACATGGGACCATTTATCAGGTATCACTTTTTAGCATATAGAAATAGATAATCTAGCACAGAATATTAGTTAATGGAATTTATCTATTTATAATCTGAACCTTAATACTAAAACCTGCAATAGGAGATTTCCAAAATTAAAATACATTATGGCAAATTGAAAGCAAACATACTTTCTAACTTTGAGAATAAAATAAACTTCTTAAGACAACAGCTATTCAAAGGCAAGCCAACAAATGAAATACCAAGACAGCAACATATGTTCTACTACCCTTTTCCTGCAAGTGGCATCAATATGATTTGCAAAAAAACCAAACAGAATAGCTTTAAAGATTCAACTTGAAAAATTAAACATTTCTTAGAAACTGTATGGTTAAGAGGGAAGTGGGAAAGAAAAATTCTACTACATATGTTCAGAAAGCCCCACTGCAGTCACCCAGATCTTTTATTCAATTTGCCAGATTGTACCAGAATGTACCACAATTTGTAACAGCAGCTTAACAACTCTTGTATTAAAAATGTTTCAGTTTCTACTATATTCCAGATCTTTCTCATTACCAAAAAAAAAAATCTGTTTAACTCTTTTGTTCATTGACCACAAAGTTGTTAATGTAGAGAGTGTTAAGGCTTTATGTCCATAGACAGTGGAAAAATGAATTTAATGCTTTTTAAAATCAATCGATTCAGCTAAGAATTCCTGCTGAAATAATTTTGACTAAATTAATGAAATCACTTTTTAAAATAATAAGAGTTTTTTTCCAATTATGAAAGTATAAAGAAGAAAAAAACTTTTAAATGAGTGCCCTAAAAACCGCCAGAGAAGAAAGAACTGCTCAAATATACTTTAGTTAGTAAAACAAATGCATCAACTACCCACTCATGAGGAGGTCTGAATTCTGGCAACTTAAATCATTCAAAACACTGCTGACCTAGAAGCTTACAAGAAAAAAAAATTTTCAGCAGCCACCAAAAGAGAAAATAGCCAAGATGATCTGAGTATTCCATAAAGTGTAATGTGATTTTTCCTCTTATGACTGGCAAAGTTTATTAAAAAAAGTCCCACGTCTCTACAGCTAGGAAGAATGGGATTTTTAAAAACTTAAAGGGATAAAGAGCCAGCTGAGAGCAAAAGGTGATGGAGCTGGGAAGAAGCAAACCTCTGACAGTGGGTTATCAACACTACTTACGTGTTACCTTTAAAGTACAGTAAAGAATAGAACTGGCTATGAAAAGGATTTTAAGAAACACCCAAAATTAAAACAGCAATATCTAATTTAAGGGTAAACTAGGACTTTGTAGTTGGGGGAACAAAATAAACAACGTTTGAGAGCAACTTCTTGCGACCCTAAAAGCTCACCTATCCCTAGTCTCAGTGAGCTAGGAGGGCACTCAGCAAAGGGTTTTTACTTTGATAGCTTTAACTTCACTATTTCAACAGTGCTACTGATTAGCACTTACTAGTACTGTCTAGTGTACTCAATCTGTACAGTGGCAAGCAAAAGTTAATTCTGTGGCTTTTTAAGAGAACTGACTTCTGAACGTAGTCTGTGCCTGAAACAGTTTACACATACTGATGAAATGTCATTTTTAGGGATAACCACCAAGTTCTACCCTAGCAGAAATTAGTTAAAAGGAGATTTGTGTATTAAACCCCAGCATCCTTTCTATCTATCTACTTCCTTCTGGAAAATTAAAAAGTCCATTTCCCAGACTCCTTTACAGTTAAGTTTCCCCATGTGAAACGGGGTCCATCCATCAGATGTTGTGCTGTGAGATTTGGAAGGCAGAAATGAGGCAGGAGCCATTTTTCTGCTGTTTTGGCTGTTAATGCTGGCAAGCACATTTATGGAAACATTGGGTTTTTCTGCAGCATTCCAGTCTCCAGAGCCTCATGGCTGTCGAGAGACAAGTTTGGTGGAGGCATTCATCGCTAGTTGGTGGGTGTTGAGGGGCAGTTTCCAAATAGCAATTTTTTGACCCTTAAATTGCAGTGAGCAACGTCATTCGGCACTTGGAAGTGCCATTGGTGGCCTCCTGACTCCCTTCCCTGGAGGGCCTGTTTGGCAGTCTGGTCCTGGGAATAATTTCTGAAGGCCCAGCCTGGAGCCCACTCCTCCCAGCCCTTCCAATGATTTTGTAAGCGTTCAGTTCCCTTTAGAAAAGGAATTAAAATGCTGGAGGTGGTTTTTCTTTCCTGCAACTGGGCCCAGATGACATGTTAGCACATCAGTTGCCTCAAAATGTAAGCAGAAGTGTGACTAGTCTGTCTGTGAGCAGTAGTACTGGGCAGTGCTTGAGGGTACAGGCTCTAGAATCAGACTGCCTCGGTGCAAATTCTGGTTCTGCCACACATTAACTGGATAACATGGGAAGTTACCCTCCCTGTGCCTCAGTTTCTTCATACGTAAAATGGGACTAGTAATAATATCTATATCTTCTAGAGTTATGGGACAGAGTAAATGAAAAGATAATCTAAGTAAAGTGCTTACAACAGTGGCTGGCTTATAATAAGCCCTCAAGCTTATTTTATTTAGCTATTATAATAATAATAATAGGAATCACTATAATTAATTATGCAGACCACTTTAAAACACATGCTTTAACTGAGTAGAAAATACAAACATTTTAGAATTTTATTACCACACATTTTCTTGTGTGGCCTAAAGAATGCCAACTTAAACAAAAGTAGACACAAAAAATTTGACTAGTTCCATCCTATCTGTGTACCCAGAGAAAGTGATCATTTCAAAACTACAGTGTACCTGAGGATAGCAAACCTCCACTCTAAGGTCAACTAATTAGTCTAACTAGTTATTGTAGACCTCACCCTAAGGAAGAGTTATTCTTTAGAAACAATTTTTGCCATTTTCCATTTCAAATGTTACCTCATTAATTATGCTCTATGAACCAAGGTGTTTGTTGTTTTTGTTTTTAGTGCTCACAGATTTCATTACAGCGACAGTGGTGGCAGTGGCAGCCTCAGCCCAGCCCACCCTCACCCACTATTTCTGGCCCAGAAGAGGGACAAGGGGAGGCTCATGGCCCAGCAGAACTGATGGGGGTAGTGTGGGGGAACCAGGACAGGGATCCAGGGACATAAACTCTGTACAGATACGAAGGGCTACTGCCCCAAGGCCCTACTGTGCCAGGGTACCAGGTGAGGCAGGGTGACTGACCCACACACTCACAAGGTGTTTGTTATTTAGATTTTTTTCAGCTTCAGTAAGATGTAACTGACAAAATTATAAGTTATTTAAAGTATACATCAGTGATATACATATACGTGGTGAAAGGATTCCACCCATAATTAATACATCCACCACCTATTTTTTTATATATATATATATATTTTTTTTTTTGGTGAGGACATTTAAGTTTTACTCCCATAGCAAATTTCAATTATACAATACAGTGTTATTAACCATAGCCACATATTAGACATTAGATCCTCAGACCCTATTCATCTTACAGTTGAAAGTTTGTGCCTTTTTACTAACCTTTCCCTATTTCCTCCACCCCAAGTCTTCAACAAGTACTTTCTACTCAGTTTCTATGAATTTGACTTTTTTTTTTATTCTACATATAGGTGATAACATGCAGAATTTGCCTTTCTCTCTCTGACTTATTCCTCTCAGCATAATGCATTCAAGTTCCATCCATGTTGTCACAAATGACAGGTTTTTTTTTTCCCCTCAGGGCTGAATATTATTTTGTTATATATATATGAACCACATCTTTATCTATTCATCTATTAAAAGACACTTAGGTTGTTTTGTTATTCAGCTTTTTAAAATGTTATCACAGAGGTGATTTCATGAAAATAGGATCTGTACTTGACAAGACTTGCAATCTGAAAGTTTAAAATTTTAGTGTTTAGGCTTAGAATAGTATTCTAATGTACACATTATGAAGGTCTTAGGTAAAATTATGGTCTGGTTTGGTTTGCTGAAGTGTCTTCTGATGATGAAAAATACATTGCAGATTTTGGAATAAAGCTTCCCCCAAATATTCTGAAATTGTAAGAACCTTATGTTACACCTTATCGAACAATGGCAGTGAGATAGAGAGACCAAAGGTATTCGTTATACCCTCGATGGTTCAGATGTTGCTGAAAGTCCAAGACTCAAAGCAGTAGAGATTTTCTGAAGAGTTAGAAAAGCAATTGAAAGAAAGCTACTTCATCTTTTGATTCAGTAATTACTTTTACATTGTCCTGAATTGCATAAGCTATACATGTTTTCCTACTTTTTAAGAAAAAAATCTTTTGGCGGGTCCTCTGTGGGCCTCTCATAGTACCCATGCCAGAGAAAATTGCAGCCTTGAACCACTGCCCAGCCCTCTCACCTGTGTGGGCTGTGAGCACTGAAGAGGGTTATATAGTGTAAAACAAGAAAAAAAAATCTTTTTTTCTATTTTCATGAGAAGGTCAGATATTCAAACTGAAATGTGAAATGTATTCATTCAATACATATTTGGGCACCTACTCTCTGCCGGACTTATCCCTGGCCCTGAGATAACAAAGATGATGCCATGTCAAAGATCAGTGCTCTAGAACACCTCAGTGTCTGTCAGCAGAGAGAGAATCTCAAAAAGAGAAAGAAAATACTCCTGGGAGAAAAGAAAGAACTCCAAGGATTTTGCCTGGGAGTGTTCAGAAAAGTTTTCAAAAGGCTTAACAGTCAAGTCTTGAAGGATGAGTAAAATTTCATACATGAAAAAGAGAACAATGGGCATTCTAGACAGAAGCACCAAGGGCAAAGACACAGACAGGTATTGAAGAGCACGACCTCTTCCAAAAAAGTTGCTATGGCTGGAGACTTAGGGTCTGTGGAGGGATAGTGGAAAATTAAAAGAGAGAAAAATATGTAGGTGCCAGATCCTGAAGTCCCTCCAATTTGTAGGTTTGGGGCACTTCTGAAGGATTTTAAGGAGAGTTACATAGTTACATGTCCACTAATGACTAGCAATGTGACTTGAAGTCAAGTTACTTAACTCTAAGCATCAGTTTTCTTTTTATAAAATGGGGACATTGACTGTTAAAAGGCTCTAAGGAAGTCTGTTAAGAGGATTAAATAACAGCTAAGGCAAATAAGATTAATAGCAATAAGAAATAAATTAAGACAAGTAGCAATAAGCACATGAAGATATGTTTAACATCTTTAGTCATTAGGGAAATGCAAATCAAAATCACAATGAAATACCACTTCACACCTACTTAGGATGACTACAATAAACACACACACACACACAAAAATAACAAGCGTGGAGAAATCAGAACCTTCGTGTACTGCTGGCGGGAATGCAAAACGGTGCCCTTATTTTGGAAAACAGTCTGGTAGTTCCTTAAATGATTAAATGTAGAGAACTCTGCAATTCCACTCCTAGGTATATGTCCAAGAGAAATGAAAACATGTCGCCATAGAAACTTGGATACAAATGTTTATAGCAGCATTCTTCATAATAGCTAAAGGGTAGAAACAACCCAGATGTCCATCAGCACTTGGGAAAGTGGATAAACAAAATGTGGTGTATCCATACAATGGAATTGTTATTTAGTCACAAAAAGGAATGAAGAACTGATTACCCGGACAACACGGATGAACCTTAAAAACCTCAGGCTAAGTGAAAGCAGCTAGTGATGAAAGACCATCTATTTTATGGTTTCATTTATATGAAATGTCCAGACTGGGCAGATGATGGAGACAGAGGTAGATTAGTGGTTGTCAGGGGCTAGGGAGATGCAGGAATAGGGAGTGACTATTAATGGGTACGGGGTTTCTTTACGCAGTGGTGAAAATATTCTGGAATTAGAGAGTGGCGATGGTTGCTCAACTTTGTGAATACACTAAAAAACACTGAATTGCACACTTTAAAAGGGTGAATTTTATGGCATATGAGCTATATCTCAATAAAAATAAATGGCTAATATTTGAATGTTTACTAGGCACTGTACTAAGCACTTTACATTACATTATCTTATTTCAGTCTTCACGATAGCTTTATGAGGTAAGTGCTTCTATGATTCACATCGACTAGATCAAGAAATGGGAGCACAGAGAAATTAAAAGAAAATCTTCTCCCAGATTCCACAAGGAGCAAGTGAACAGAGATTGGAATTCAGGTTGACTGACCCCAAATTGGCACCCTTAAGTCATGCACACTTCTTCTGACCATCATGTATGCAAAATGCCTAGCACAATGCCTAGCATGCAGCCAGAGCTCAATAAATATTAGGTATTATTGTTATGATGATCCAATCTGTATGCTCAGAAGAAAACCTGAGGCAGCATGGAAGAAGAGAAACAGTGGGAGAGGCAGGGCCAGGGAGACCAATTTAAAGGCTTAGTGTAGTTGTCAAGGCAAGAAATGGGGAGGAATTTAACTAAGAAGGCAGTGGAGACAGAATGAATAACAGAAGTGGTAACAGGAATTTTTCCAAGAAAATAGGACTTGTCCTATAAACTAGGATCAGTTACAACTTGATCATATTTACATCTACATTGACATAACCTGCATTCATATTGTACTCTTGAGTCTTCAGGAAAGGTTTACGTTCTTCCCAAAATGTGTGCTTAAGTCATGACAATGGGCAATATATTTTAGATTTTCTTTTCAGTAGATTGACCTCATTAAGTTGCAACAGCAGATTATACTTATTAATTCATGTAGACAGTCAAAATTCAATTTGAAATATTTTAAATATCTGTAAGAGTTAAATTATCTATAATGATCCTAAGAATATTAAATAAATCAAGATTCCCAACAAGTTCAAAGATATTTAAATGTGGATGGAAAAGACAATTACATATTGTAGGAACCATTAATTTCAAGGGTCTTTAGAATTGGAGGAAAAGACATATATTGCCACAAATAGACTAAAGATTTAGGTAACAAGTGTAACTCAAATTAAGGTTGTAGGTTAGAAGACCATCTTTTTAAGATATATGGTCATTAATCTAGAATTTAGTGTGTCCTATCAGGGTGACCGATACAAATTTCATTAGCCTCCTTAGCAAAAATCCCTGGGCCATAAGGAACTTCAGCAAACTGGCATGGTAACTGTTTTCTTTGGTGGATAATCTTTTAACCCTGTAAAGGTTTAGAATTAAGTATAAAAACATTTCCAAGAATCAAAATCACAGCTGAGAAAATCTCAGTGAGAAATGGCATTTAAAGTGAAGTCCAAAGAGGGAAAAGAGAGAGAGTCATGTGGGCATCATTAGGAAGGGTGTTCCAGGCAGCTGGACAGCAAGTGCAAAGGCTCTGAGATGAAACAGGCAAGGAGGATTGGGCAACATTAAGGATGGCTGGAGAGAGCAATGAGAGATGGAGTCAGAAAGGAAGGGCAGATTGTGAGGTAGGTAGGACACCATGGGACCAATTCCTGTAGGGCTCTGTAGACTACTTAGGGGACTTTGGCTTTTGGTCTGAGTATGATGGGGAGCCACTGAAGATGGGGAGCCACTGACCAATTCTGAGCAAAGAAGTGACAAAAACTTCCCTCAAGGGGATCAAAAAACTTGCACTAAATCCTTTAAATATTATAAATATATAAACAAATGTTAAAAACTTAATAAATATTATAAACAAATAGCACAGGATGACAAGTAGTACATTATCTTACAAAGCTTTTGCTGGGCTCGGATCATTATCAACAGCAGAACTGATGACTTCAAAGCCATGAGATAAGGTCTGGCAGAGTGCCCTCTTTCTCGAGGGGTTGGAAATTTACACGACCTAGAAGTTCAGATATTTATGATGCCTCCTACTGACATTCTATAGTCTAACCCAAACGTGCCCATTTGGTAAAGGGTGGCAGGTTAGATTCTCACTTCCCATTTACCCCTTGTGTGGCCAGTGGGGCTCTGAGGAGTAAAGACATCTGAGCTCTGGTTATGGGTGAAGGGCTTCTGCTCCAGGGATCCCGCAAACCCAACCATATCTGAGGCTTGGGGATGACAAGAGTACAGAATAAGCTTGAGCCTTGGTTCTTCTGTTGGGGATTTTAGACTTGTTTCTGATAAAGATCAGTTAAGGTTTTTAGAGCAGGGGCGCGATATGACTTGCTTTCTGGAAGACTCTGGAGGTGACTTTTGGAGGAAATGAAGAGCAAGAACAGGAGGCAAGGGCGTTGGAAGGCTGCCACAGTCCACCTTCTGGCTTAACGCTTAAACGCTTAATGCGTTTCCTCATCTGAAAAGTGGAATAACCACTAGCCTGACTGGGTGGTTGTTTTATGTGAAATTAAGTGTAATAATTCATATAGGCAAATGCACTCCACTTATTAAAGTTCTGCAAATATAACCGTTTATTAAGAATAGAAGTAATACTGATGTATATAGTTTAAAAGCCCAATAGGTGAGAATCTACCGCTTAAGAACACGTCTTGGACTAAAACTAACACAATGTTATATATCTCTATTATATCTCAATTTAAAAGGAAAAAAAACCCACGCCTTTGAAAGATGTGGAGCCTGGCTACTGGCACAATCAGCAATAAATAAGCGCATTTGAAAGGGAAGGGGCGAAACGGCTAATTAACTTACAAAAGACGCCGTCTGCATAGGTAGAACGTGCGTATGTGTGGGTCCGTCATAAAACAATAAGTGTAACTCAATTATTTGTTAGGTAGAGTAAGTCTGCCTCCGGTTCTAAGCCCGGATCTGTCGCATCACGACATAAAACCAAAGAATGGAGGATGTACGGAGAAACTCGGACTACTGCCCAGGCAGCCACCATCCCGATGAAGTGCCCGGAGCCGCGGAGGAGAAGCCCTGGACCTCGGCCGCCCCATCCGGCGGGCCGCCCATCACTCGCCAAGCAGCCGGAGCCCAGCCGGCCGCCGACCCT